AAAAATAAAAAATAAATAAAATAAAATTGGAAGTATCAGCAAAGAAAAAGAAGATATAAAGAAGAAACAAATAAAAATTTTAGAATTAAGAAATCTAATAACCAAAATAAGATCACTGGGTGAACTCAGTAGCAGAATAGAGATGACAGCAGAAGAGTCAGTGAACTTGAGAATAGATTAATAGAAATTATCCAAACTGAACAACAGAGAAAATACATGGGGGAAGAAAAAAGGAACAGAGCTCTAAGGACCTGAGAGTCTAATATTTGTGTCCTTGGAATCCCAGAAGGAGAGGAGAAAAGTTATGGGGATGAAAAAAATATTTGAAGAAATAATGGTTGAAAACTTCCCAAATATGGTGAAAGACAAAAGTGCTGATTCAAGAAGCTAAGCAAACTGCATCCTGAAAAAAAAGATACCCGTGAACAGACACTTCATAATCAAATTGAAAGACAAAATCGGGAAAGCAGCTAGAGAAAAAAGAGGCATCACCTAGAGGGGAACTGCCATTTCGTGCTTGCATAGTTGTCATCAGCATCCTCTGGAGACCAAAAGGAAGTGGCACCACAATTTTGAAGTACTGTAAGAAAAATTACAGATGTACCTCTTCCTTTTTTTCTTTTTCTTATTTTCTCCCTTGTTCTCCTTTTCTTCTGCTTCACCCCTGCCCCCCTCTACTTTCTGCATATTTCCTTATTCTTTAACTGGGCCAGTAACTCTCACAAGCATTGCCTGGCATTTGGACCCAAAGAACTTGACGATCCCTGCTGTATAGAAAGAAGTTTGGTTTTTTCCTCCCCCCTATATTTGGGATAAACAGGAATGGATTATAGTGTTTCATTCATGAAGTTCATGATTTTTACCTTATAATCTTTCTATTAGTAGAAGAAATGGAAACTCCTAGGATTGATTAAAGCTGTGGACTTCCCCTTGCGTGTGATGCAGATGGTCAGCCTTCACTGTTAGAGCCTGTCAGTTTAAACATTGAGACTTTGGTCCTCTAGTTGACCTTTGGTCCTCTAATTGTTGGGTGTTTCCAAGGAATGAGAGTGAATGAACTTTTATATAATAAAACATGTTGCAACTGCAGAGGGCTTGTTTATCTAAAATAGTATAATAATAATGATTGTGTACCATTTCTAATTGGTTATAATCTAGTAATAGAATACCATTACCAAAAATGTCTGTTGATTACTAAGTATGTCTTTTATCATGGCCTCTTCATCCAAAGCTTCTCTTTAGCCATTACGTGCTTACCTCACCACCAGATATAGCGTCCTCATTATCTCCTTACTTGAGCTCATTTCCCTTCTTCCTCTGCCCTTTCATGTTTTCATTTTTCCTCACCGCTTCCTCTCTCTCTTATTCCATTTTTCTCTTGTCACTAACAAGTCTGTCACCAGTTTTCTCTCCAGGCTAACATTATAGTATCTCCTAATACCATTGTTGATATTGAAGCAGAATTTTCATTAATTGTAGTTGGTATGAAGTAACATTAAATGACATTGGAGTGACTGTTAGAAAAATCTCATAGCTAGCAAGTCGGTTACCAATTATGAGCTCATTTGGGCCAAACACTGTCCTGGGTACTCCATTTCATCCTTATTTGGTGACAGTGTTTCATGTGCACATTACCATTCCCTTGCTTTCTTGATATGAAATACATAATGGGCTTTCGTCTTTTTACAGTCCAGAGACATTAAGTCGTTCGCAGACTCAGACACTAGAGAGTTTGGAATTCATTCCTCAGCATGTTGGTGCCTTCTCTGTGGAGAAATATGATGATATCAAGAAATATTTAATAAAGGTAGAGTCAAAATTACAGTGGTCTTGTGAATTAATGACACAACCACTACAATGTATCATTGTGCTCACAGTTTATTGGTACCCTAATCCTATCTTTGCTTTCTAGGTATTTCTTTTGCTAATTCTCTGACTACTAAAAGCACATTTCCACATGAATATTGCCCTATCATGTTGGTAGAACTTTTTTAAGTTTTGTAAAGTGCTCAAGGGAGTTCTTGAGAACAAGGGTCAAAGTTTAAAATGGCTTTTTGTTAGTAACATTAGCAGACTAGAGATTGTATAAATAAAGCGTGCTGCCCTCACCCCATGGTTATGCTCTTTGCTTCCTTCTCAAACCCTGTAAGATTAGCTAGTTTAAAGTATGACATGCATTGATAATGGGGTTGCAGGAAACAGTATTAAGAGAAATCAAGGGAACTGGAGAGTGATTGTATTAAAGCATGATCAACTGTCATTATTTAGTTTGCTCAAAGGTAACCTTTCCTATTTTTTGGTGAAGTTTATAGCTTAATTATATTTAGCAGTATATCCAAAGCTATTTTCCCAAGATGCTAAAAGGATTCTTTGATTAACATTAGGAACTCCTACTCCATATAATTTGGGTAGACTCAACACTTTCAGAAAAGTTTAAGTATTTGAATTTTCTGATCCAAAAGTTGACTCCTGCCAGTTTGAAAATTGTTTATCGTTTATGAAATTGTTTTATTACTTATTGGTTGATTGTTTCTGCTGTTAGTCATTGACTAATTTCAGTGATCCTCTTCCTGTTCAGGCCTGTGACACTCCTCTGCACCCCCTGGGCAGGCTTGTGGAGACACTGGTTGCAGTTTATAGAATGACATATGTGGGCGTGGGAGCCAATCGCCGGTTACTGCAGGAGGCTGTGAAGGAGATTAAGTCTTACCTTAAGCGAATTTTCCAGCTGGTGAGGTAAGAGGTCTTTCTCATTGAAGTCTGCAAGCTGTGGAATAGTACTTTATACTAATGCTTGGGTGTCTTTATCCTGAGTGTAGAGATTACAACTTTGTGAAGAATCATTAAGGTTCCTCTTCCTTGATGAAATTACTCATCAAGAAAATGATCTTTGTGCCACAGATTCTTAAACAGATTAAATAACAAAAAACATGTTTTTACTTTATGCAAGAAACACAGCAAAGGAAACCATCAACAAAACAAAAAGGCAACCTACTGAGTGGGAGAAGGTATTGGCAAATGATGTATCTGATAATGATTTGGTTAATATCCAAAATATAAAAAGAACTTATATATTCAACACTAAAAAAATACTAATAATCTGATTTAAAATGGACAGAGGACCAGAATAGACAATTTCGCAAAGAAGAGATAGAGACGACCGCCAGACACCTGAAAGAAAGCTTAACATCACTAATCATCAGGAACTGTGTGTATTCTCATAGACTTCCATTCTAGCGGGACAGACTAAATAAAATATATAGTGTGTCAGGTGATGGTAAATGTGACAAAGAATGGGGCCTGGAGGTAAGAGGGTGCTATTTTAAACAGAAGGTCCAGGAGGCCTGACTAATGAGGTAATATCTGAGCAGAGACTTTAAAAGAGGTGAGAAAGCAAGCAAGTAGAACATCTTTGGAAAGAGAGTTTTAGGTAGGAAATTTGGAATTTGTAAAATTCAAGATCTTTTACTGGGGTTAAACCAACAAGTAAATACTATAATGAGGTCATTATATAAAAATTCATGAATTTTTTCATAAAGTGATTTTTCCTTATATTATTAGCTTCAGAATTGATAGATGCATTTGGAAATGTCTTCAGTTTTGAGGGGACAGTGTAATCCACTAAAAGACCACTGGCTGGGAGTGTTTCAGCTCTGACATTAGTTAGATGAGTATAATGAAGATAAGTTTTCTGACTTTTTTTTAGTTTTCCCGGCTATAAAATTAGGGGCAGAGGCAGGGGCAAGGTATAAGTCTACAAAAATAGAGAAGATTGCAAACTCCCTTTAAAGAGTCAAGGTTTAGGGGAGGGGGGTGGGAGGATGGGTTAGCCTGGTGATGGGTATTGAGGAGGGCCCATTCTGCATGGAGCACTGGGTGTTATGCACAAACAATGAATCATGGAACACTTCATCTAAAACTAATGATGTAATGTATGGGGATTAACATAAGAATAAAAATAAATAAAGAGTCAAGGTTTATGTCTAAAAATAAAGAGGACAATGAACTTGTTTATAGTAGAGCCCACTATTTGCATATAAGAGGTCAGAGATAAAATCTAGAGCAAATTCAAAACCTAGGGGGAAAATCCTCAATAATTTAGCTTGATCAATTGGAAAAATTTTTTAGCAACTTGAATTTTTGTTTTAAAGATTTTATTTATTAGAGAGAGCAGGGAGAGTGGCAGCAGGGGAGGAAGAGGGACAAGCCGACTCTGCGCTTAGAGTGGAGCCCAAGGTGGGGGCTCCATCTCACGACCCTGAGATCATGCCTGGAGCCTAAACCAAGAGTCAGCTGCTTAACCAACTGAGCCACCCAGGTGCCCCAGCAACTTGAATTAAAAAAAAAAATTTTTTTTTAAATTTGACTTTAATTAGATTTTCATTTTTTCTTAATGTTGAATATTTAGGTAGTTTCCAATTAATATTTGTTTTTGCTGTGAGAATAATGGTCTCTGCTTGAAGAGTCAATACAAATTGACCTCAGATGAGATACGTCAGTAAGAAAAACATGTAGATAAGAATTTTTCACTCTTTAATAACCAGACAGGAAAAAAAAAAGCACATGAAGATTATTTAGCTACACCCTTAATTTTATCCTGTAATTACAGAGCATCAGTTAAGAATCCTAGGGAACTAAAATATTTAGTTGATATAAAGTTTCATTTCATAGGTCCTTAAATAGATGAAATAAGAGAAATGCATAGAAATGTATCTTTACTCTTTTTAACCATTCTAGAGGTATAAAATTGTATAATTGTATTTTCTGTTATTCCTTAGATTCTTATTTCCTGAGCTTCCTGAAGAGGGCAGCACAATTCCTCTCTCTGCTCCTCTCCCAACGGAAAGGAAATCCTTTTGTACTGGGAAGTCAGATTCCAGATCTGAATCGCCAGAGCCAGGGTACGTGGCGTTGGGTAGAGATAGTGAAGAAAGAGGGTGGGTGGTCCTATCTAAAGAATCCCAAGGAAAAGTTTTCTCTAGATCTCAGTTTCCCTATTTTTAAGACAATGTGATTGGACTGGGTGATCTCTGAGGTCCCTTTTAAAAGGTTGTATTAAGTTGGATTAGCCAAACCCCATGGAAGTGCGGTCTCAAATGACTGGGTGCAGAGGCTGCTGAGTGAAGTAACATCATGCTGATCTAGAATAACCACAGAGAATCATTTTCAAAATGGAAACCAATTGGGTTTTCAGTTAGATTTTGAGTTAATGAAAAGTATTCACAGTTGGTCCAAGATAAAACTCTGGGGCCATAGGTAAGGTCCTCATGTTAGCTCCAAATATAAAAGTAGAATAATGTTGTAACTGTTTCTTTACCTTTTTTTTTTTTGTAAGAGAGAGAGAAAGAATGTAGGGGGGCGCGGGGAGGGAGAGAATCTTAAGCTGACTCCCAGCTGAGCACAGAGCCTGACTCGGGGCTGAATTTCACCACCCTGAGATCTTGACCTGAGCCAAAATCGAGTCAGACCCTTAACCGACTGAGCCACCCAGGTGCCCCTGTTATAACTGTTTCTTTATTCAGAATGTCCCATCTTTACTTTCAGCTCTAGATTCTGTATGCAATTTTAATATGATTGCTTCTCCAATATTTTGTAGTTATGTGGTAACAAGTTCTGGGTTACTGCTTCCTGTACTACTACCTCGGCTCTACCCGCCACTGTTCATGCTCTATGCCCTGGATAATGATCGCGAGGAAGACATTTACTGGGAATGTGTTCTACGACTGAATAAGCAGCCAGATATTGCTCTCCTGGGCTTCCTTGGGGTACAGAGGTAAGTACAGTAGTTAGGAGTAGAATCAAATGGTTTTAATTTAAAATGCTAACAGCATTATCAAGAATTTGGTACTTTAATATCTAATGGAATATATGATTTGCAGTTTATTTACTTATTTGCACATTTGTTATTCAGCAAAATAGTGATATTTAATCTTTATTTTTGAGAATTTTTGGAGTGGAGTGTAAAACTTGGTTATTCTTCTGAATGTCTTCTGAATGTGTGTTTTATTTTGTGTGTGTGTGTGTGTGTGTGTGTGTATACATTTTAGCTACCTTTTCATATTTTGCCGTCCTTAAAACAAAATACATATGTTTACAGTTTCAGAAAAAATTAATTACATTTAGTCTTTGACATTCTTCCTTTCCTTCTTTTTCTTTCCTCCCCATCTCCAATTTCTAATTTAAAAGTTTTAGAAGTGCTCTTTGTTGTGGAGCATTGTTTCTTGTTACTCCAAGGGAACACATTATGCTTTCTTCTAGTGCTGTGATAAAGCTGGTCACCCCAACATCCAGTAATTACGAATATGTGTAATCAAAAATTACCAATCCTTAATCAGAAAGTACATTTTTTCAGTAGGATAATTTGACAGTAAAAATACAGTAAAACTGAGTGAAGGAAAGATTTTGGCTAAACCTGGTAATATCCGTAATGTATGGGGAAATTGTAGTATACATTGATAGGTCCCTTAGGAACATGATAGAAACTCTTAAATTACTTCTGGAATGTTTATTAAAACCTTATCTGTTATTTTAAATGGGACAGGGAAGGCAGTGTAGCCACCAACTGTTTTTATGGGGATTAATCTATCACAAGTAACAACTTGTATTAACAGTGTGTGGCTTCCATTGTAGGAAATTTTGGCCAGCGACCTTGTCAGTCCTTGGAGAGAGTAAAAAGGTATAGTAAATTATAGTACATTTTAGTTTCCTCAGTAAATATGCTTTTCTTTAATGTGGGGTATTTGAAATAGCAAAACATTTCCATTTTACTTTGGTAGAATAGTAGCCAAGCATGAGTTACTCACTGAAGAACCACACCCTGCCATCAGTATCATTTATTTTTTACAGTTACTGCAGAAGACAGCTTTCCTCTTTGACCTTCATAAATTCTCTTTTTGCAGGTTTTGCCAGCTACAAAAGATGCTTGTTTTGCCTCAGCTGTAGAATGTCTGCAGCAGATCAGGTAATCACTGATTTGTTAAAAAAAAAAAACACATACATCAAAGTAATAGCTAGTCTATTAAGATATTAATGAGATCTTATCTTTACCTAAGCTCTAAGTGCCCCCTTCATTCCTAGAAGGTATCACACTCAGCCTGGAGATCAGAAAAGGCTCTCTTGAGACATTTGGCTTACCTTTTACTCTACAAGGCCGTTGTATTTTCAGAAGATGTGGAGAGCCTACCCAGAAATGTATCTACATAATCACATCTGTAGCCAAATGGAAATTAACCAAACTTAATTACTCAGAGAAGAGCATATATTAGGAGAATAAGGTCCTACATGGTTAAAGGGGGTAATCTTATGATTTAGTGAATTCTTCCATGTGAACCATAGATAGCTGAGGCATCTTTTCTCAAAGAACCAAGGGATTACTGTAGTTATCCCTTCCAGCGACTCATTATGCCTGATGTGTCCAACTTAAGACACCTAAGTCCCAGGAGGGTATATTGTCAAACAGTTAATATTTAATATTGAACAGTTCTATTAAGAAAAATTACAGGATTATTATTATTTTTTTTTTTTAAATAACAACAGCACAACATTTACCCCGTCAGACAAACTTAAGGTCATCCAACAGACTTTTGAAGAGATCTCTCAGAGTGTCCTGGCATCACTTCAGGAAGACTTTTTGTGGTCCATGGATGACTTGTTTCCTGTTTTCTTATATGTGGTGCTACGGGCCAGGTGACCAACCTTTTCTGACTTGATTATTAGGGACTCATGATTTTAATAAGTGCTTTTTCTGAATTGATGACAGTAATGTGCTCCCCCACTAGAAAAAAAACCATTTCTCTTTACCCATTCCACTATGGTGAGCTGTTCTTTATTTTCCCTTACATAGATTCAGAAGGAGGATGTACATATAAACAGATATAATTCAGTATCTTTTTCTCATTGGGGCAGGATTAGGAATTTAGGCTCTGAGGTACACCTCATTGAGGATCTAATGGACCCATATCTTCAGCATGGGGAACAGGGTATAATGTTCACCACCTTGAAGGTAAGTATAGGTAGTATTTAATTTTCTTTTATCTTAAAATCTGTCCTTAATTTACCATATTATAAATCTGTGATTAACACTGTCTTCTTTATACAGACGTTTAATGAAAACATTAAATGCCTTTAGAGCACATGTTGTTAATATTTTAAAATATATTAAAGTAGAATCAGTTACTTATTCTTCAAAATACTAAAGCAAATTACCCAATCTTCCCTATAAATTGATCATTCAAATCAGTAGAAATGCTTATAAAGGTAGACTATATAAATGTAACTCTAGAAAAGAAACAGTAAGGATTTGTAGCGTCCAAAAAAGTATCCATCACCAGAGCTATTTAATGGAAATGAGGGTAAAACAGAGAAGGCAGTGTGTATATAATGAATATGAATTGCATCTTCTCTTTTCCCCATGAATTTACTGTAAACCAGTATGTTACAAATAAGGTTCTGTAATCTGAGTACTCTCTAGGGATTGTTGGAAGTCATTTTAGTTCCCCACCTTGATTTTTCTTAGAGTCTTAGAATAATTCTGAAGTATATTGGAAGAACAACAAATAGAAAATGGCATAAACACTTCTGGAAAAAAAAGGGAGAATAGATGTACTCTGCCAGTTAGTAAAATATTATAAAATTACAGTAATTAAGATAGTATGTTATTGTCACAAGAATGGACATTACCCCTAACAGAAGGAATAGACAGGCAAATTAAAATGAGAAAAAACCTAGAATTTAATGTCAGGTTTAGAGCTTGGGTTAGTTGTTTGAACTTTTCAACTGAAATACCATTAACATTCTCCATTAAAAGGGCTGAAAAAGGTGGAGGGCACCTGGGTGGCTCAGTCGTTAAGCATCTGCTCAGGTCATGATCCCAGGGTCCTGGGATTGAGCCCCGCATCAGGCTCCCTGCTCCCCTGGAAGCCTGCTTCCCCCTCTCCCACTCCCCCTGCTTGTGTTCCCTCTCTCTGTCTCTCTCTCTGTCACATAAGTAAAATCTTTAAAAATAAATAAAAGGGCTGAAAAAGGTGGAGAAACTGGGGGAAATATTGGCCACCAATGACTTACATTTTTAGTATTTATGTTATATGAAGAGTATCTCTCAACATATCAGCAGGGGAGAAACAAGTGATACATTTATATGTAGGGAAATGCTCAACCTCACTGAAAATTACAGTACTGCAGATTTAAGCAAGATGCCATTTTGAGCCTACTAAATCAGCAAGGACCTTTTAGAATTATAACCAGTGCTGGTAGGGGTACAGTGAAATCAGAATTATGCCCATATTGCTGATAATGCATTAAATAGCAGTCACCCTTTTAGAAAACTGTTGTTGTTAACGTCGATATCAACAACATCGAAAATGTTCTTGGGGTTTGAGTAATCCTACTCCTGGAGATTTATCCTGAGGAATTGAAGAATGAAAAACATACATGGTTTGGCTGAGGTGTTCTTTGTAGTGTGAGTAACTTCCAAACCTGGATACTTCCAGAATCACCTAGGAATGCTTCTTAAAAATTCATTCCTGGAAATTCTGACTCACTGGGTCTGGAATGATGCTTACTCTTAATTTGTAGTTTCTTAAACATACTAGATGATTCCAGTTACAGTTGTTTGTATACCTTATAATGCTCAGCATATTCTAAATGTCCACTCAGCAGTGGCTTAGCCAATTATGGTATTTCTACTTAGTGAAGAATATTAAACAGCTTGTAAAAAGTTTCTTTATTTTAGAATTAGTAGAAGGTGTGCAAAATTTTCTCTCTACTAATTTACAAGTATGCAAAATAGACATTGGATGGGGGGCTGGAAGTGAACAGGGAAAAATAAAGCAACTAACTGATTTTGTTGGCCCTAACAGTATTTATCAGACATTTCCTTTCTTTGGTCTCCTGTGCACTGCTATGTTTATGTGGCTTCTTTACAAGTAAATTTTAAATTGTTTTGAACTCTTTTTCAGGCATGTTACTACCAGATCCAGCGTGAGAAGCTTAACTAGGATGCACAACAGCTTGACAACTGGATTATCTGTAGGATGCTTTAGCACCATCTGGCGTCTTCCTATAGTGGCAAAAAAGAATGGTGTTGAAATTAGGGCGTTGTGTTATTTTGGTGGTTATTTCGGAGCCTTACTAATGATGATAGCCCTGAGCCCAGAAAAAAAAAAAAGACTATGATTTAAAGGGAGGGTTGAAAAGGAGATCAAATTCAATTAAACCAGTTAAGTCCCCCAAATATCATACATTTACTGTTTGGAAAAAGGACATCCCCTCCTACAGTAAGGAGTATGCCAGCTACGTGAAGTTGTAAGAAGAATTCTCAGTACAGCTTCTTACATTAAAGAAGTTAATAATTTTTTTGAGTTTCAGGTTTGCCTGCAGTTACCCCAGACCCCTTTGCAAGGAGCAGATTGTACTTGAAACTACAGTAGCCACACTATGCCTTCCTGAATTCCTTGCAGTCACGTGTGCATCATGCTTCTTTGCTGAGGGAGGGGAAAGAGGACCTTCTAAAACTGCAGTTTTAACTTTTTCTAAGCTTTTCCACCAGGGTATTCATGATGGGAGAGGTTCTATGCAGTGACTACCGCACCCCGACCCCAAACATGGAACACATATAAATAGGAGTCTTCTGCCTCCTGACTAGAAAGAACATAGGAGTTTTGTTCGTGGATTCCTTTCAGTGCTATGGAGTGAATACACTGGAATTCAAACACTGACTCTGAGCTGCTATGGAACCTCACTCGTCCGTGTGCAAATGCTGTATTGCGAGGCCTGTGAATGAGAGCCCGAAGAGCTTTTGCATGTGGGCTGTGTTTTGGAGCAGGACTAAATTCTGGGAAATACCGAAGCAAGGAACTGCATCCATCCTTGACCTAGTGTTCTGGTTCTTCCCTGTACCTCGCACTGAACTCACAGAGGGGAAGAAAAAGGAAACAAGCTTTGGCTTTTCCCATCTCAAAAGTATTGTAACACTTCAACATTTTAGTGTTTTGCCTTTCACCTTTTTTTTTTTTTAATGTCCTGTTGTAAATGGTTGGTTTACACTGTACAAGTAACACTAGTAGCTGTTTTGAATAACATAGGTGCTCTTTCTCATCTCATCTCCTACACACCATGGTGAGCATATGGAGTATCCTCCAGATTTATGTTAACATCAGCAGGTGTTAATCAATTTTAAAAAAGGATCATGGTTTCTGCTCTACTTTATAATCAAGACATGTTTATTAAAATACTGTTTCGGAATGTTGGCTGTAATGTAACAGCAATTTTCATAATAAAAGACATTCATCTCTATGAGGTTGTTTTATGATTGCATAAGAAATGACTCGGGCAGCTTAAAAATTTAAAAGAAACCCAGGCTTGGGTGTTTTATTTATTTTATTTATTTTTTTGCCCGAATTGTAATTCATGCCTCTTTGTATTGGCCTCAGAGGTCCCTCTGGGGTTTTGGAGATCTCTGTCTTTAAAATAAACATAAATTCATAATTATAGCACCTTCGCTGACAAAAAAAATTGACTTTCTGATTCTAATATCCCTAGGACAGGGGTCTTAAATCTATTATTTCTTTGAATAAAAGGCATATTTTGATAGTCACTGTTTTTTTTTTTTTTTTCTCCTGAACAGATTCAGGCAAGGGAAGAGAGAGGATTTAAAATTCTCCTTGGAACTACTATGCATTAATTAGCTACCTCCCAGTTGTAATGTCTTCTCAAGAAGCCTTTCCATGTCACCACTGCTCTCTACCAGAAAGTGGCTGCCCATTATTGGAAAGGAGCCAACACTTGATTAGTTTATGTTAAACACCCTGCATTTCCATTAGAGATTGTTTTGATTTTAGGATAAACACAGATTCAACATTTGGCAAATTTACTGAATGTCTGATCCCTTAAGAGATACAGGGGTAGTTCTAGAAATGAACAAAGACTTGAGACCCACCGAGAAGTTCTCAAATGATGGTAGACTGTCTCAGTTCTAAGAAAAACATGTTTTAACTCATCTTTTTATTGGAGTTTTGAATGGAACTTTCCAGTTACTTCAGGCTCTTGATACTGTACCTTTCAGATACACCTTTCAGATAGCATAGTAAAACCATAAATTTTCAAATTCTAAATCTAAATCTCCAGGCCACTGTCTATAAATAGAAATACCTAGCACTCCTGCCGTAGGTTACAGATCTTTCACATGTGCGGTGAATGCTCATAGCAGCGCTGTGAGGCAGGTATTAGCCCCACCGATTTTGTAGACAAGGAGTGGCTGGGATTTGCTCACTGTTAGAGCTGAGACTCTAACCTAGAACTTCCCTGACTCTAATTCCAGGGCGCTTTCCTACTACTACTGCCAGAGATGGCACTTCATAGCTGGGTTATGCATTAAAAAGATCGTAAGGTGGGGGCGCCTGGGTGGCTCAGTCGGTTGGGCATCCGACTCTTGATTTTGGCTCAGGTCATGATCTCAGGGTTGTGAGATCCAGCCCTGTGTCTCAGGAGGGAGTCTTTTGAGACTCCCTGTCCCTCTCCCTCTCACACTCATGTATGCACTCTCTCGCAGATCTTTTTTTTTTTTTTTTAAAGATTGTAAGGTAAAAAATGAGTTGAAAACTTAATAACATTAGGTGTTTATGGTAAAATACGGTGTGCTCAAAACGGTCACAGATGTATCACATTCCCAACTTGCATTTTCATCAACAGTGGGAGGCAAATGAAAGCCACCTGTTTAATTTCGAGTAAAGGGGCTGATAAACCTCTAACAATAGTCATTTGGTCTTTATTCTGATCTGCCCTGCTATGAGCAGAACCCTTTAGTTTTATTCTGGGTTATCTACTTCCCAGTGTGCTTCCCACCGACTTTTGCACTTAATGTGCTTCGCTGCAATATAAAATTTTCAAATAAAGAAGTAACTCCAATCTGAGATAATGGGTATTAAGTTGAGGACAGTCACTTGGTAGCGAACCTTCCAGAAGGAACTTTTTACAGGCCTCATTATTATTGGCTGAAGGGTCTTCCATCATATTCTCCTCATAACGTGAGACAATAAGGTTAATAGGTCAGCTTACTCTCTGGTATCTCCAAAGTTTTTCCTTTCATTAAAAATGCTATTGTCTGTTGGGGGGTGTCTGTTATGGAATGGTCAACAAAAATAATTTTTTTTGGTGTTAACAATGTGGTGGCATTTTGAGAGAAAATACCACAGTGAAGGTTGAAAATGATATAAATTAGACCTCCCAGTGTAAGGAATACTTAAGATTTGTGACAGGGGAAGCTTATGAGTAACTTAGTGGTTAGGCTGGGTTAGGCTTCTGTGGATTAAATCAAAGAGGATGTGCAGAGATTTTGTCTAGAACAGTGAGGTGACTTTGGCAGCTAATAGCCCACTAGTATTTTCTATCAAAGCTTTTCTCTGGATAGGAGCAATATTGCATGTTTGCGGTCTTGCAGGTAAGAGACTCTGTCAAATGATCCTCAGTTACCAGAAGAGATGTATAAATGTCCGTGCTTCTGTCAATTTTTAATAGCTACAAATAAAAATCTGGGTAATTCAAATGGTTTAGTTTCATTGTAACCCAAATCATATGGAGAATTCTGTGATTTTGGAAGAGCAGGTTTTGCTTTGGGAAACTGTTTAAGTATGGAATAATGAGTTGTCATGCAGACAGTAAAACTGACCATTTGTTCTAGCCCTAGTCAACAGCATTTTGACCCACAGGAAGCTGGGCCATTTTTGTACGGGCTGTTACTTATCATTAAGTTTTCAAGTGCTTTTTCAGGCTTTGTTTAGTAGGAAGCATTTTTTTTTTTTTTTTAAGAGCTTAATAGGGGTAGGGGGAATGATTAATAGTTATCACTATATTTTAACAAGTTCATGGAAATACTGATTTTTAAAGTAATATTTAGGACAAATTCTTTATAAGTCCATAACACTAATGCAGCTTCTCAGTTAATAAGACCTGGTGATCCTTCCTCTGTTATTTAATTAGTCCAGAATTGCATATTGTTGGGTATCGACTTACTTGCAGCCTCAATCATGAATTCTCGTCCTCATGACAGCAGAAATAGGTAAGTTCTAACTGACAAACTTGGTCCAGAAGTCATGAAAAGGCAGGGAAGAGGGATTCTAGTCCTTTGCCAGGCACTCATATTTTTCAGGTCTAGTCCTGGAAACAAAAGAGGAAAACTGGATTTTACTACTTGTTAACTCTACCGAATACCCCTTTGGATGTCAGATTCCACGTCTGAAAAATGAAAGTTTTTCAAAGTTTGATAGGGAAGGAGGTTGAAGTCAATATAACCAGGCTGAGGAAAAGAGGAAGGGCACAGGCCTCTGGAGTCAGCGGCTCCCACCTCAGGATTGACGTCCCAGCTGCTCTCCCTGGGCAAGTATCGGCCTTTTACTTCCATATTTTGGCCTCCCATTTTTCCTCCCCTTCTCAACCACTGGAAATACAGCCCAGACCCTGCTACAGGTGCCGAGGCTTCTGCGTGAACCAGAAAGCACGAGGTCCACCTTCCAGACCCTCTGCAGACATGACCCACACGGAAGCCGGACACTGAGCGGGTTAATGCGTAAGAGAATTGTGAAGCGGGTTGTGAACTGAAGCATTGCCATAGTTTTCATAGACATCCGGAGAGAGGGAAAACCATTTTCTGAGGTTTCCTTCTATGATTTTTTTTGTCTTACCTTGGGCTAATACCAGGGACTCCGTGGCTTAAACAACAGATTTTTTTTTCTTTCAGTTCTGAAAGCTGGAAGCCTGAGATTAGGGTATGAGCATGGGTGGGTTCTGGTGTGGTCCTTCTTCCCAGCTTGAAGAGAGGCTCCTCGCCGTGTCCTCACCTGGCAGGGAGATTCACGGAGAGCAAGCTCTCTGGTGTCTCTTCTTACAAGGGCATTAATGCTATCATGGGGACCCCACCCTCATGGCCTCATCTCAGCCTAATATCTCCCAAAGGTCCCACCTCCAAATACCAGCACAGTGGGGTTGGGGCTACAACATCTGAATTTGGGGGAACACAATTCAGTCCACAGCAATTTGTCACAGGAACCTGATGGTGACCACCATGTTTAGAATTCACCTAAGTTGTGGAGATGAAAATCACTGTTTATGCCTCCATGGGTGAGGAGCTTTTAGTCAACATGAGCTTTTGAGAATATGTGAATTCGTTATCTGCAGCCCTAGAGTTAGCAGTAGATTTATTGGAAGCTATGTTAATAATTAAAACTCACTATAGAAATCACAGTCTATCTGTAAATCTCCCTCACAAATCAGGTCATCTCAGGAATGCGCAGTCTGGTGTCCCCGGCTGCAGCATGGACAGGCCTAGTTTGGCACACTGGCATTTGGGCATTAATATGGAAGAAATGTGGTCTACCTTACTTACGATGCACAGATAGTAGTTGGCTCGTTTAATCTGTACTTCCTCTCCAAGGACGTAATTTGTGAACCGCCCTTTGGGTAACATTTCCAGCAGCTTCTTGAATATGATGGCTTGGTGTCAGACCCATCTGTTTGCTCTGACTTTTGTCTATCTGGAAGACACTCCACCTCCCTTTTCAATTCCCTACCCTCCATGCGCCCCTCTTGGGAGGAAGATGAGTCACACATGCAAATGTTGTGCTAAATGATTCAACAGAGGCTCAAAAACTAGAACACAGGAAAATGGAAGGGTTTAACCTAACTCAGTTGAGGCTGGGCAGGGCAGGTGGTGGTGGGCATGGCAAAAGCATGTGATGTCAGGTTTTGGAAGAGTCTAGCAAACTAGAATACTTCAGTGTGACTGGGAAAGAATGTGTATGGGAGAGTTGTTTAAAATTCTCCAACAGCTTTCTTTCTCACTGGGAATTTAGAGACAACACAATAATGATCTGTCTTTTTCGAGATAGCCTCCCTGGTTCAACCCCACAATCTGTCTAAATTCTAGGCAGGGGTTCTCAACCATATCAGATGCAATATCCCAGTCTCTAACAACTAATTTGCAATACTCCTTTTTAAAAAAAATCCCGATTTATCCTTTATTATCCTACTTGGATAACAAATGTTGTTGGTGCCCTACCCATAGACCGTTGGTCCTTACAGTTTTGGTGCAACCCAGGCCAAATTCGAACAGCCAGCCCCTGCACTCACTACCTGAGAGCATGCATGTGGGAGGCCAGAAGGACTAGAAGTAATGTTCTCTGGCAAAAGCCCTCAACTGATGACCAGCAGCACTGGTGTATAAATACCCCCACTTTCTTGTACCTTATTCCCCCAAGGGCTTAAGCTCCATAATGCCCAGAGTGGTTACTTGCTTGATACACCTGTCACTGGCTTTTTCCCCGGCCTTGTCTCAATATCCCACTCTGCTACTGGTGTTTCCCAGGATCACTTTGCAAACAAATCATCCCACTAGAATCCTTGCTCTGATTCTGGGGAAACCCAAAATAAGACACTTCCTTACACACAACTTCAAAAAAAGGAAATCTATCTGTATCATGCCCTAGTAATAAGATGTTAAATAAACGTTGTCAATAAGACATTGTATATTTCAACATGTAAATATGAAATACCACTACACCAAAAGATATAATGAAACAACATGTTTGCACTTATTAAAAAATCCAGCCAGGGACGCAGATACAGCTTGATAGTGGTGTGTTATAGTGGTACCCTAAACGCTATGTTTTTAGGATTCTAATGGGATGATTTGTTCAGAAAGTGATCCCAGGAAACACCAGTAGCTGAGTGGGATATTAAGACAAGGCAAGGGGGAAAAGCCAGTGAGAGGTGTATCAAGCAAAGCAGCTTTACCATTATTGACATGATTTTCTGAAACGGTGAACAACTTGATATAGTCCAAGCAAAACAAAGTAAATTCATTTCTCAATTACGGTAGTAGCATTTCAGAAAATTCAACGTATGTTGAAATAATGCCAAAATACTTTGTGTTTTTAGGTAAAGAAAAGTTGGGTTCTAGGCTCTGATAATTAATTATAAGGGTGTTTGGAGTTTTTTTTAAGCAACATGAAAGTCCAGTGAGGTGTTTTCAAGTTATACCAGGGTATAAGGTGATTTTTCATCGTATAAGGCAACTTCTGTGAAACTTCCACAAAGAGCAGTGAGCATGTTCCCTTTGCCCTCATTTTCTTAACCCTCATTTTGCTGGCTGAAAAGTAGAAGTGATGGCCGGAGCTCCAGCCACCATTTTGGAGCAGGAAGATGGGAACCACACCATACCCGAGGGAGGCAGAGCAGCAAGCTGGAAGGAGCCCATTCTCTGAGCACTTCGTGGAGCAAGGCTGCCCTACCAACCCTGAACTGTCTCTGCCTTTACACTTTTACATGAGCAAGATATAAACTTCTACCCTGTTTAACCACTATTATTTTGGGTTTCTGTTTCTTGAAACTAATCCTTCCCAAAGCCACATAGAAAATAACCTTTAAGGTTATAATAACCTTTAATGCCTCAGATGTAACCATGCCTCTTGCCATTGTGATTGGTGCCACGAAGAACTGTAGGTACAATGAGAGGGAACACGGCACCTGAGTGGTGTCAGGCCAGGGAAGGCTCTTCTGAGCTCTGAAGGATGGTAAAATTAACTGGGTGAGAAATAAATATTTGTTTGTCACTTGTTTAAAAAAAAAAAAGAGAGAGTGGGAGGAGTGTTCCCTGAAATAGTAATGCTCTCTCATAGGGCTGGTTAATTTAGAGAGTGAGCTCTACAGGGCAAGTGTTTTGTTTGATATGGGTCCCTGGGTGTAGCACGGTGCTCGACTTGCTCAAATAAATGCTGTTGAAAACACATTCCAGTGCGTGAGAGCTGCAGGGCCGGCGTGACCAGAGTGAGCTGTGTGCTGTTTACAGTCTGCTCCCAGGGCTAAATTCCGTCCGAAAGCTTGGGCAGGAAGGATACAGTCAGACAAAGGGGCAGATCCACTGGACAAGGAGAACATGAAACCCTCTACGGCAACCAATCCGGAGAATGGTATGTAGTGCCTGGACTCCTTTCTGGATCAGAAAGGCCTTATAACATCACTGTAGATATGAGATCAAATTTAGGGGCAGGGGTTCTGATAGATTTATTGTGATTCTTTTAAGGAACTTGTTGGACACTTCAGAGTGTCCTACTACCTCTATTAGTGATGATTCTAAGCAGTTTTCAAGGCAGGAAGGAAAGAAATCGGCACAGTGGGTTCAGAACCTCCTTTTTTCTCTTATCCCACAATGTTTTATTTAAACTTAGAACTTCACAACTTGTTCACATTCAAAATATCACTACAACAAATAGAATGCCTATGAAAACATGTAAAAAAATCCAGCATTCATTAAAATCTGTTCAGTTTCTTTAATCAGTGGAATCCTGAGATTTGTATTAAACACCTACTGGCAGGTAGAGTCAGGTTTTTTTGTTTTTCTTTTTAAGATTATTTATTATTTATTTGAGAAAGAGGGCACAAGCAGGGGGAAGGGCAGAGGGAGAGGAAGAGGGAGAGAGCATCTCAAGCAGACTCCTTGCTGAGGGCAGAGCCCAACTCAAGGCTCAAATCCATGACCCTGAGATCATGACCTGAGCCGAAACCAAGAGTCCAACGCTTAACGCATTGAGCCACCCAGGTGCCCTGGCCATTAGAGTTTTTCAATAACACTTCCAATAAAAACTTTCAGAAAGTGTGAAGACAAATGACTATGTTTGAATTAGAGAAGGAGGATCCAGAAAACAACGAGATAATTTTGGAATAAACCAAAGGCCGGTAAGGTGGGGGAAGGGAAAGAATATTGCTCTCATAAAATCTGACATCTGTAAATGATCTATTATTTCATCTAAATTTAGCCACAACCCTATGAGAAAGATAGCATATTATTTTGCCACAAGGAAACTGGGTTTCAGAGAGTTGGATGACTTTCTGAAGTTCACACAGTGATAGAACCAGAGCTTTTGGCCTTAAATCCAGCGTCATCTCATTCCTCAGGAGCCCCTGTGACCCATCCCAGGAGTCTGAGTTGTCTTTCACACTCACACCTGCCTTTCTTCACCTCCACCGGCCACTCCACCTCTGCCCTCTCCCTTTTCCAGGTCTCTCCCAGATCCTGAGGCTTGTGCTGCGAGAGCTGAATCTGTTCTACAGCCGAGATGTGAACGGAGTGTGTCTCCTATATGATCTTCTCCATTCCCCATGGCTGCAGGCTCTGCTAAAGGTGTGCACCCCATTACCTGGAGGCCTCTGCTTACTGTGGGAGCTGAAAACTGCTCACCCAACTGTGCCACTCACTCACTGGTTAGGTGGCAGGAGATTTCAACTTGGTAAAAGTTCTTAGAAGGCAATTCTTTTGTGTGTTCTGAGAATTTCCAACATGGGTGTGGGGGTACTAGGGGATGTCTGTAATTCATCTCAATTCTGACACTATCCGGACATAGCATCAGATCCCATAGGGTAAGGGCTCGGTCTCCCGGGACTGCTGCCCCCTCCCCCCATGTCAGACGCCAGTCACAAGCCCAGGCTGTTACCTGTACTTCTGACCAACTGTCTATAAATCAGAGGTTCCCTAGACCTCCTCCTTGGGTGTGATTAATTTGCTACAGCCCACAGACTCAGAGAAACATTTTACTTGCTAGATTACCAGTTTATTATAAAAGGATATTACTCAGGAACAGCCAGATGGAAGAAATAAAGATGGCAAGGCATGTGGGAAGGGGTGCGGAGCTTCCATGCCCCCTCCACTCTCCCCTAGATTTCCACAAGGTCACCAAACCAGAAATTCTAACAAACCCAGTCCTTTGGGGCTTTTCTGGAGGCTTCATTACATAAGCACAGGTGATTAAGTCATTAGTCAATGGGGATTGATTGAACCTTCAACCCCTTCTCTGTTCCCCGGAGGTGGAGGTGGGGGTAGGGGGTGGACTGAAAATTCCAACAGTCTAATTACATGGTTGGTTCTCCTGGCAACCTGCCCTTAACCTTAGGTGCATTCCAGAAATCACCTCATTAACATAAAAAAAGGCATCTTTGTCACTTTCCTCACTTAGGAAATTCCAAGGGTTTTAAGAGCTCTGAGCCAGAATCAGGACCAAATATATAATTCTTATATAAATCACAGTATCAAAGCAATCCTCAGAGAAGAGCTACACAAACCTCTTAGCTTACAAAGGATGAATTTAGGTGGGAAAGTATATGGCAGTTCCTCTTTTCTCCCCCAGTTCCTTTTCTTCCAGAGGACCCTGGGATCACAAAGTGGCCACCACAAATGGCCATCAACAGCACCCTTAGCATCTGTCTACAACCCTTTGTCCTTGAGGCTAAAACTCAGGACAAATAAAATGCTTTAAAAAAAATTGTTCCTTTTTGGGGCATCTGGGTGGCTCAGTCAGTTGAGCATCTGACTCTTGGTTTCGGCTCAGGTCGTGATCTCATGGGTTGTGGGATTGAGCCCCACCTTGGGCTCCCAGCTCAGCGGGGAGTCTGTTGGAGAGTCTCACCCTCTGCCCCTCCCCGCACTCTCTCAAATAAATAAATAAATAAATAAATCTTTAAAAAAATATTCCTCTTTGTTTCTTAAAATCAGGAAATAAGATATCTACAGTTCTGTTTAGGTATCTTAAATTTTTCTTATCCTGAAAATTTCTTTTTTAAAAATTTGGCTAAAATTTCATGCGCTGTACAATAGCATCTACTATCTGATTATAATTTTGTTCAAATGCTTTTTTTTCAATTGACTACTTTTAATCCTTTTGTTACTCATTCTTTTTTTTTTATTATGTTATGTTTGTCACCATACATTACATCATTAGTTTTTGACGTAGTGTTCCATGATTCATTGTTTGCATATAACACCGGTGCTCCATGTAATACGTGCCCTCCTTAATACCATCACCGAGCTAACCCATCCCCCCACCTCCCTCCCCTCTGAAACCCTCAGTTTCAGTCTCTCATGATTTATCTCCCCCTCTGATTTCCCCCCTTCATTTTTCCCTTCCTTTTCCTAATGTCCTCCATGCTCTTCCTTATGTTCCACATATAAGTGAAACCATATGATAATTGACTTTCTCTGCTTGACTTATTTCACTTAGCATAATCTTCTCCAGTCCCATCCATGTTGATGTAAAAGTTGGGTATTCATCCTTTCTGATGGCTGAGTAATATTCCATTGTATATATGGACCACATCTTCTT